CCCCAAACCTTAGACCCTAAACCCCAGATGAAAGAAAGAGCCAGGGATGCACAATTGAAGCGTAAATCGGAGGCCGGCCGAAGGCAAACGCCAGACGCGAACCCGAACCTGAACCCCAGTCCCAGACCGGCCCCCCTTCCGAAAAAAAAAGACACACACCGGCCCCCTTCAGAAAACAGGGGGTTTAGGGTTTAGGGTTTAGTGACCATCCCAGCCCCGAACCGGAAGAAATCCTAAACCCTAAACTCCTTCGAAAGACCCTAAAACCCTAGACCTTGGTTCTTCAATACCCAGCCTTGGAACTTTTTGGGGTTCTTATAAGTTAGTAGTAATGTGAAAGGTGAATCTTTTTGTTTCTCTGGTTTACTGGGGAAGTAAGAAACCCTAAACCGTTCGAACATGTTCGAACCCACCTCCACACGGCTGAAGCTGAGGACGTTTTCGCCAAAGGCGATTGGGTGACTGGGCGGTGGCTTCAGGGGCTAAGGAATTCGAGTTACAGGGTTCCTTTAGTGGGTCTTCTATAAGGATAATGTTACGTCGGGTTTAGGGTTTAGGGATTACGGTATATGTAGGAGCCTTAATAACTAGAATTCTGGAGACACCTGAGCCCTCATTGGGGCGCATCTCAAAAATCGTGCTGAATTCCAGGGTGAAACGGTAAGGAACAATATTGGTAATCACTTAGGCTTCTACATCAAGCGAAAGGTTCTGTGAAGGTTCCTCAGAGGTTTCGGTGATGTAGGGATGAGCGCTTGCTAGGGTTCTTGGGGTGATTTTTACATCAGGGGGTTCTGGTGTCTCCGAGTCCCACCTTTTTTCACTCGGGATCATGAGCTACTCATCTGATGGTTTTGGGTCTCAAGGGGCTATGGCTTTAGGGCTCAAGGGGTGTAAGGCTTAGGGCAGTAAGGGCTTTTTTTTTGTCGTGTCGGGGTTTTGGTCTTGTTGTTTGTTTGTGTGTGTGTGTGTGTGTGTTTGTCGGCTTGTAGTGTTGAGGTGTGAAGATTTTACTTATTGGGATTCGTTTGGGTTGTTTTTGGATTTTAGAGTTGGTGTGTGGGTCCAATCTTTTTCCCATTTCCGGGCTTTCGTGTTTTGGGATAGGGTGTTGTTGTTTCGTCTTCGTTGTACGATTAGGGTCTGGGGTTTTAGGGCGCAGGGTTTGGATCTTTTTTCTGGCTGGGAACGACCGACACCTGGTTTACTGTTTATTACTGTTTTGGGGTTCAGGTTTGTTGAGTTTGGGTTGCAAGGTTTATGTACAGGCTTCGGGTTTCAAGGTTCCGGTTCGGGTTCTGGGTTTCAGTTTACGGGAATGTAGTAGAGTAGGTAACCGTCAACAATCTTCAGCATTTTGGGGGGGTACCATATGGTCCCTAATCCCTAAACCCTAACAAAAAAAGCAGAATGTCTAGCTTACCAGGTGCCCACTCGAGAAAACTTTCGTGCTTTCTTGAATGACTACATAACCCGCGTTGCAGATCATGTTTAGGGGTTGCTGAAAGGAAAGCCTCGTTCAGTGTCCTTTTGGTCTTGAGTGTCCCTTAGCCGCAACTTTTGCCATGAATATGGCCTCCGCACCAGTTGAGTTTTCAGGCTATGGTGGCGGGCACTGGAAGTGACAGCTAAGGCCGCTATAGCCAAAAGCCGAGACCCCAAAACTCCGAAACTAGGTAGGGTGCTAAGATAGATCTAATTTCGGCTGTTATATACTTGTCATGATCAAGCAATCCACAGGTAGCTGGGGTTCTAGGCCGGGCCCATTCGGGCCCCCTTCGTATTCGGCGCGACTTCATGCGCCGTTTGTCCAGCCAGACCAGGTTTAGGGTTTAGGGTTTAGGGTTCAGGGGTTGGGTTTAGGGTTTAGGGTTTAGGGTTTGGGGGTTGGGGTTTAGGGTTTAGGGTTTAGGGATTAGGTGCATGGCTGAAGCATGTGGCCGTTCCTTGGCTAGGGCCTCAACCCTAAACCCTCGGGTTTCTTCTTGCTTTATGAACAAGGCCCCTATGTTGTTGGATAACCGGCGAAGGGTTTCGCACCGCCTTAATGGCCTGTCCAACAGAAGCGTCAAAAGTCGTGTTCCCAGAGACTCCAATATCCCTTAATTAAAATATTCCTTAACTTATAGTAGGATCCTTAAATTGATTTAAGGTATATTCCTTAATTTAGGGATACTGGAGTCTCTGGGTTCTGCGATTTATGGTGAGCTTAGTCGGGAGCATTTTAGAAGGGTGTTGCTAAGCTTGCCTTAGGTTGCCCTAATGAAAGAGCATACCGTCTTCCTCTTTATGCATGTGTAACCAGTTCCTTCACAAGAACCAGCTTAGGCTTCTATCCTCGAAACTCCAGCCGTGAACCCTACAGCCCAAAACACTAAACGAAGCACTGTACTTGATCTCATTCATGCAAGTGAAACGCCCTAAAACCTCGAAGCCTAAACCCTGCACCCTAAACCCTGAATCCTGAACCCAGGTCTTTAGCCGCTATTATCGACATGCGCAGACTGGGTCCAACTCTCTGGAGCAATGTCGCGTGACTGCACAGGGTTCCAGGCTTCGGGGTTCAGGGTTTAGGGTGTCGGGTTTAGGGTTTAGGGGTTTAGGGGTTTAGGGGTTTAGGGGTTTAGGGTTTAGGGTTTAGGGCCAGCTTAATTAACCTCCTCGTAAAAACCCAGATTAAACCCTATACGGGTGAAATTACAGCCCTCAGTTCCACTATCCGGCCTACCGTAGCAAATGCAACCACATTTCTTGAGAGGCGGCGACCTTCTAAACCCTCAGCCCCAAACCCTAAACCTTAAACACTGACCCCTGAACCCTAAACCCTATACCCCAAACCCTAAACCCTAAACCTTAAACCCTAAACCTTAAACCCTAAACCAAATCAGTTTGTGGTTCTCGCTGTTTAAGTTCCGGTCTGGACCGCAGGACCCCTGACCCCCAAACCCTCAATTCGTTTAGGGCTCAGGGCTTAGGGCTTTCTGTTTTGACAGTTGCTGATGTGCGTTTGGAAGTCTTCCTCTACGTAAAGGCTTATTCGTGTTTGTTCAGGCGTGCTGCATAAAGGCTGTCGAGCCAACCCTAAACGCAAACCGCAAAAGATCGGGTTTAAGACCCATGCCTGACACCCTGAACCCTAAACCCTAAACCGACGCCCTGAGAGCGCGAGGCAACTTCCACGGTGCGGCGGCTGGGCGGATGTTGGGGAAGAGGGTGAGTTATGCAGGGTCTAGGGTTTAGGGTTATATGCGTTTTGGTAGGGTTTCATCGGGCCTGACAAAAGCTTGAGTCGTTCTATGATGCTGATGCTTTGCCTGGGTCTTCATATGTGCTTGAAGGCTGTTCTGTAGGATGTCTGTACGGAACGAAATAGAAATTCCAGCTTTCGTATGGAGGTTTGGCCACAAGCAAGACAGTTAGTTGTTACTACCCCCACGGGCTTAGGGTTTAGGGTTTAGGGTGCCAGCCCGAATTCCAGGTTCGGAAGCGCCGACCATTGAACACAGATCTTTGTTTCCCTCGAACCCCTAAACCCTAAACCCTAAACCCCTTAACCCTAAGCACTGAACCCCTAAACCCTAAACC